CGCCGACAGCCGCGACGTGTACAAGTACTTGGCATAAGCATATTGTTCCCTGCCCCTTCTACGCTATACAAACGAATTTCCAGTCAACTGCTAGAAACGAAGCATTTGTGTATCTTTGCGCACCGCACTGTCTGGCTGTATATGTAGTGACAAGTTGCTCAAAACCACAGCCATACGTCGCACACCGTATATGTGGTTTGCATGTATTCCTTAGGCAACGAGCAGTGGTTCTGAGCAGTGCTATGTAGCTATGTAGCTATGTTTGAATGCTCACCATCTCTCACCTACGAGCTGCTGAAGGTCTAGAGCACAAGGTGGAAGGTGTGGACTACAAGGAGCAAAGCAAAAGAGAGGAAAGAGATGAGTAACGAAAACACCTGGTATATGGATGTGTATATTTCGCGCAACAGTTCTGAATGAATCCTTGAACAGCGATATCTCAGTCCAGAAGCGCACTAGTGGCGTGAGCTTAACAACAGCAGAGAACAACAGAGAACAAGATTATATTGATGTGAAGAAAGCTAAAGAGAAAGGAAATAATGAGGGCGAACGTAAAGGTTTTATACGTCGCTCAGGTGACAGCTTTTCATTCCATTGTTTCTCTCTTTTGCTTATCGGTTTCGTTTTTTGGCTATGTAGTTTTCAGTAATTGGACCTTGGTATTCAAACAAGCGTTTATTTTACAAACTCTGTTGCCATGCAGTATGTTTCCGATCTGCGGTCTACAGAAAGCGGCAGGATGATATCACAAGGCTGTGATCATCATCCATGGCTTTAAGAGACATGATATCATCTACGGCCTCAAGAGGTAGGTCTTCAATCGTGATCCTCCTGAGGTACTGACTACTGGAACAGATAGCGGATCTGGCTCTCACATTTACTTATAGTTGACAGCTCTATGAGCCTATCTGGGTGCTGCGAAACAGCAGCTCACATCGCCATGCTAGTGTAATTTTGTTTTTACCCACCCTCATTTTTGCTGCGCAGCCGCCCTTGGTCCAGCAACGCTATGGAAACCATCTAAAGGAGAAATTAACAAATTAAACAGATCGATTAGACCAACGAAGGTCTCCTGGAAATCACGAAAAACATGCCATTTCTGCTGGTAGATCATTTGGGCGGAACTGACAGGAGTTGACAAGTATCCTCAGCGTGTTCTATGCCAGGACAAGCAGGGGTCTTCTCTTCTCTTCTTCTCCATACCGCTTTCAAGAGCTTCACCGTATATTTTCACTATGAATATTATTTTATCTGCTGCAAAGCTCGTGCAGCTGGCCGTGCTTGGGTGTGCTGGTTGCCTGCTTCTCCAGTCGCTTTTCATGAGCACGCAAACGTTCTTGGGTTCTTTTATCCAACTATCCATGTCCCTACCTTAACCCTGTGTCGCCTGCTGTCGAGATCACAGGTCCGATTTCGCTCGCATGGCAGGAAGTCTTTTGAATACGAAGCTAAGGTGTACCTTAGTAGCAAGTCGTGCCGTTCCAACTCGCTCGAAACGTTCCTCCAGAATGCCACCGAGGTTTGGCACATTGAGCCTCAGAGCCTGGCGAACCGGTACCCCATCTTTGAGAAGCATTTGAGCCTGGATTTCACGGATACTACTTGGACGTTTATGTGCCTTTTCATTCAAAAGGCTGGGCAGTTCACATCCCACCCAAACATTAGCGACCCGCATCTGCTTGTTAGCGAGCATGTGCTTGCGTACACGACAATGTCATCCACATGCTACGGGGATAACCAGAAGGGCAAGGGTATCAAAGCCCATTGCGTTTCGAACACAACATTCATGGTGGAAACCCAGGCCAAGTGGAAAATTCATCTCGAGGATAATGTGTATACGCCTGAATCCCTTCCCCGACGTCGCTGCAGTAAATGCAACATCATCCGCAGGCAGTCACTTGACTCAGATAACCACGACTGGCAGCGCTGGCTCTAAGGGCATGTACCTCCCTCTGCTCTATATGGACTGGGACACTAAGTCGGAGAGCGTGAAGTTCCCTCTCACAGATGGCAAAAGTACAGACAAGGGGACCGACTATTTCAATACGTCTGTTGGTATCAATATGGGGGTACGCGGAGTACGCACTAGCACTGAAATCGAGCTTAACCATATCACGAACACACCGGAGGATAAGGCTCTCGCGATTTTAAGAAGGAACGAAGATCGTCCATTCATGCCTCATATGTATTACAAAATCGCCAACAGCCAAGTCGAGTGTCTCAACAGCTATCTACCTTGCGCTCTACCCTGTCCTCCTTTCCTTGTATATCCTTCGGCAACTTTCCATTGCCAAGCTCTACTTTGCCTCGGCCTGTTCGAACAGGGAAAAGGCCAGCTCCATCCTGAGGATGTATTTGCTTGTCGAGCACCTAGGGTCGCCCCTGTTCGGTAGATTTGTTCTGTTGGAAACCACGCGGGTTGAATACTGCTTTTCTGAATGCGTACACACCTGGTGGTATATCAAATCTATCCTCGCAGTCCTGCCTCAGAGGAGAGTGGCAAGTACAATAAGGTATCTCGCTGGTTCTCGAGCGACCAAACCAGGGACAACGACAAGGACGGCGAACCCACTGCAATCTACCAAGGAGAATGAAGGCGCGGAAGCGGAGAGCACCTACACTAAAATCCGCTTCATCAGTGTTCAGACACTTTCTCATGGGTGCTTTTGGGTTTTCTATTGCCGGAATATGCGGACCAAGCGTGTGTCTCTGGAAGCTATGATGCTTCATATCTGTCGGAGGCTGAGTGGAACTGGGCTCGCATCTTTTCCGGGGGCTTGGGTTGTTTCCTTCGTCGCCTTATCAGGTGGGCTCCTGCCGCCTATTTCATCCCGACTGTCCTCATGGTATTCAAGCGCAAGTCTACCACACATGTGCCAATTATGTACCACCTCCTTCGCGTGATTGAGTTTGTTATAGTCGGATTGGTTTGCCTCTACGAAATACCCGAGGTGCTTGACCCTAAGTATCTGGCATTGTGCAATGTCGTAAACAGCATCAGTAGCATTGCCTTAGTTATCCAGTGGAGAGTATACAATAAATTCCTGAGTGGCGCTATTAGCGCACACATATTTCGACAGACCATGCAGCAGTTAGTCAGATATACAGGAGCGATAATTAGATGACTAGGCTACAGGCCTTTGTAGGTATATTGGCATGACTCGTGTGCTGATGAGTTCTAAGCTACATGATACCAGAGTTGAGAAGAACAGTTGTTAATAACAAACAGCTACAGTTTGCATTTGGAACTTTTTGATTCGATGATACAGCCCAATATGCAGAGATAGATAGCTAGTTAGAGGAAGAGTACGCTAGCGAAGGACGCAGGGATGACAATAGCTACACATTTTGCGTTGCTTAGAATGCATTCGCTCTGCACTAATCACTTATTGGCATCAGTGGTAGTCCCATGTTGGAAAGGCATCGCTTCTTGAAGTATTTGGAACACATTTGATTCCAACTGCTGTTTGCTAGCCCGAAATGTAAGAGCAAGACGACCAAGTTGAAGATCAAATTTGCCACAAGCACAAGCGGCATAACTGTACATTCTCATGTAGCAAATTCCATTTGCAAGGCAATGGTTGATGTGCACCAGTTGTGGTTTGCCGACCGGGCCTTGCATAAAGATAGGCACAGCGCAATATAAGTTTAGGAGTGATATAGAACAGAAAACAACCAGGAAAAAGACATGCGCAACTGCGGCTGGGGTGCAATGGGCAATTTAAAAGACCGACGGCTCGCGCACCAACTCCTAGGATGCTTAAAGCTTACCATTTAGCCTCAGTTCGATACATACATATATGATTTTTGCGGCAGTAGCTGTATCAGAGTGAGGCGGACGGCGGTGATTTATGAGCAGCGAGGATTGAGGATTCGACCAGAAGCAGAGAATAGATGTTTGTTCAAAACCTTGCATCTAGTGGCATAGGGAGGGAGATGAGGGCCTCGCACTGCCCACCCTATTGGTTTGGAGTCGTAGATTTTAGTTATATATTTTCGCTGCAACGTTTCAAGCATGCACGTTTGCCTGACGGTCATATATGGATAGCATGGGGAACGGCGTGTCAAGCAAGAACACTGTACCCTTGGGTCTCCATCTCGCCACAAGGTAGGATATAGCGCCCATGTGAGCGGTTATTAACAGCAACTGCAGTCTACCACCATCTCTAGATGTCTCCACAATGGTGCCTGATGCCACATGCCCCACTAAAGGCATACCTTTGGCAATGGTGTACACAGCAGTAATGATGGCAGACAGAAGAGGCTTCCTCTGGAGAAGCCTTTAGTATGCTATGACCACATTGCAACAGCATACTGAGCCATAAAATAGGGGTACCGATAAGCATGTATATATACCGTAGTAGCAACCACCTTGCAAATAAATGTCTCGGGAGAAAATAAAGATGGGATTGAGAAAAACAAGTGTTGAGAAAAGAAAAAGAGAAAGGCTTTTGGCGCTAAAGGGTAGGCATGGACGGCACAGCCGGCGCACTGTTGCCAGCAGCAGCATTGGCGATCTTCTTGACCTTGGACCAGGGCCGGAAGATGCTGGCGCGGGAGCTGGATGGCTCGGGAGCGTCGGACGGGCGGCGCTCGGAGAGGCCATCGGAAGCATTGGAGTGGGTTGACCCACCAACCACGGAGAGGCGGTTCGAGCTTGCCGACGAGTACTGCGAGCCGTCATCGACATCGACCTGGTTGATCAGCGGCGAGTTGCCCGACGTGCGCTTCTCGGCGTCGGGCGACCCGCCAAAGCGCGGCGAGCTGGTCAGCGGCGACGTGATCACCGGCGAGTTCATGACGCTGGTATCCCACGGCCGCCGCATCTCAAACATGCCCGCCTGCTGGAACGGCGACCGCGGCGGCTTGCGCAGCAGCGGCGTCGACCCTGCGTCGCTCGGCGCGCGCGCCCGCGTCTCCGGCTCGGCCTCGTGCTCTGCCCGCGGGAAGTACTTCAGCAGCGCCAGGCGCGCCGGCTCGGAGATCGCATGCAGCGCCGAGCCGCGGTCCGCTGCCAGCGCTGGCAAGTGTCCGCGCAGCACCACTACGCTACGGGCCTGCAGCCCGCGGTGCTGCGCGCGCAGCCCAGCCTCAAACACTAGCGGTGCCGTCTGCGGAGACGCCAGGTCGCGCAGCGCATTCACAGCATGGATGCCCAGGTCGCGCAGCCCCGATGCACGTGCCACGCCCAGCAGCTCACCCAGAACCGCCACGGCCTGTGCGTCGGTCGTCGCCGAAGCATCCGACGGAGCATGTGGGCCGTGCCGCGCCGCCACATCGACGCGGCCTGTGTGCAGGAAGAACACCAGGATATGGATGGCCGCACACGACGCGTCGATTTGGAACCGGCGCGGCATATCGGCAGTCAGCGAGTCGTCAGCAATACCCGCCCACTGCTGCGCCTGTACTGGCCAGCGCGCCTGCAGTAGGCCGCTGTTGACCGGCACGTGCCCGTCCGACCCGTCGATGTGCGCGTCGGCCAGCTGCGGCACAAATAGCAGCTGCGCGCCCAGCTCGAACAGCGCATCGGCGGCGCGCGGCGGCGGCGACGCAGTGTCGCTGGCTGCAGCGACGGCGGCTGCACGGGCGGCGGTTGCAAACGGCTGCTTTGTTGAGCCACGGCTCAGCCGGAAGCCCAGGGCCTGCAAATCAACGGTGCGCACCTCGCCGTAGTTCAGGCGGCGGCGCTGGTAGTCGTATGTCAAGTCGCGGCGGCTGTCGCCGAACAGCACCAGCGTGTTGGACCGCGGGTCCACCAGCGACTGGTTCCACGATCCAGCGCGGAATCGTCCCCCGCAATCCACCACCCGCCACTGCAGCTCTGCCACATCCAGCGCCCACACGCTCAGCTCGCTGTGGCCTTCGTGTGAGATCAGCGTCCCGGTCATCAGCACCGTCCGCCCGTCCACCATGCTTCCGCGCGGGAACCGCAGCCCCGGCGGCTCGCCCTGGATTGCCTCCGACAGATCCTGCAGCGTACAGTCAGGTGGAGCGCTCAGCGCATACAGCGCACGCTTCACTGCCGCAAAGCTGTAGTTGCTGTACAGCAGCGTCCGCCCGCCATCGCCTGTCCCCGCTATGAACGACCGGTACAGCCCCACAGCCCGCGGGAACCCCGCCCGCAGAACCCACGCCCCGCGCTGCAGGTCATACACATTCAGCTCCTCGACATACTGCTCGTCCAGATCCTGTCCGCCCACCACCAGCAGCCGGCTGCCCAGCAGCGTCGCCAGGTGCGCGTACCGCGGCGCCGGAGCCTCTGCCTCCACCGCCGGTCCCGCCGGTCCCCCGCTGTCCAGTGCCCGCTCCGCCACCCACCGCTCCGTCTGCGTGTCAAACACCGCCATGTCGCCCAGCAGCAGCTTGTTGCTGCGGTTCGACTCGTCCATGCTGCGCTCCATCGACTCGCTGCCTGCCACCAGCCCCATCCCGCCAAACACTATGATGAACTGCCGGAACGCCGTCGCCGAGTGGAAGAACCGCGCTGCCGGCGAGGTGCCCGAGGCCCCCGCAAGTCGTCGCCACGCAAACGTCCCCAGGTCGCACACAAACAGGTCGCTCGACAGCTGCCCCGTGTGCAGCGACCGCCCCCCAAACACGTATGCCTTGCCGTCCAGGTATGTCAGAGAGCTGCCCACCAGCGCGGGCGGCACATCGCCTGTGCATTTGTGCCCGCGAATGAACAGCTCTGACGCGTCCAGTTCCGTCGACGCCATGCTTTGCAAAAGTGTGAGAAATAGAAAGAGTGTTGAAAAATTGTGATGTCAACAAATAAGAAGCAAGGCGCCTCTAGATATAGTGAAGTGTCCCTGAGCCACGCCTATTGAGCCTATGAGTGCCTGCTAGCCCTGTAGCGATTCTTTTGTAAAACCTGCCAATCCGTGCGATATGTCTGTAGAACCTCCAGACAGAGCCTGCCAGACGCCTAAATTTTCTTTACTACGCGAATAATGGAAGCAAGCAGATGCAGAGCAAAAAGGCAAACGCAACACAAACCGTGTCTGAGCAGCCGCTCCTGTTCACTGTCTTTCCAACCATCAAGCACGGCAATCCTCTGTTTTCGCTATACCACATCCCCTCCTCTTGGTGGCCAGATGCCCCCACTGCACATCTCGCACATTGACACCGATGGGCGATCTACCGTGCCATGCCATTCGATGCGCGGGTTCTTGATCCACCCCCGCCTCTCTTGCTTGCTCCTCACATTAATTGCCCTCCAGCTCACTCCTGCCAGGTGCTCTGGGTGGCAACCCGCATCTGTCCGGCAGCCCCACATCCACCGATCCCCTCGCTCTATCCACCATGTTTTAGTCGTAAGGGGAACCTCGTATTTTTTTCTTGCTGAATATCGCTGTTTAATGTTGTAACTTTTTTTTATTGCCTGGCCGATCACTCCTCGTCGTCATCGTCGTCCGAAATGTCGCCAACATCCTCGGCCGCAAACAGATCCTCGTTCTGTGCGCCCTTCTCCTCCGCCTCCTGCTGGTGCTCATCCTGCTGGTACCCACCGTCCGCCGTCTTGTACTGCGAAAAGTCAAACTCGTCTCCGTCATCATTATCTCCCGCATCCAGCTCAGGGTTGAACTCGAAGAAGTCACGGCCCGACATGTTGACTGCCTTGCCAGCCTTGAATGCCTTCGCCTTGGCCTCCTTGGCCTTGGCCTCCTCCGCCTCCTTGCGCGCCTTGCGATCCGCCTTCCACTTGGTGAACGACTCGAGCGTTACCGGCGTCAAGTTGTCACCCAGCCTGTGCCGCTCTGTCTCCAGGAACTCCTCAAGCGAGATCTCGTCCTTGTCCTCGTCCTTCTTCTTGTCCTTCTTAAGCACAAATCCGGGCGGCAGCGCGTGCTTGTATATGCACTTGTCGCCGCCATTCGGGCACTCCCAGAACCAGCCGTACTTTGAGCTCTCGATCGCCGCCAAAAAGTGCTTGCACACAATGGTGGTCGTGGTCTTTGGGTTGCCGTGCTTCGACAGCACCACCTCCTCGAGCTGGCTCTGGTCCCAGTCCTCCATGGTCTCCTCCTTGCCGTCGCGCTTGTCCGTGTAAATGTCGAGCTTCTGGCCCTTG